GTAGCAGGGCCTTTTTAGCATCAAAGAATGCTGATATGACATCCAAAGGAGGTCAATGGCAAGGCCCTCCCACAGGAAGGAGCCCGCAAAGACAACAACAATAATTCTTCCACAAAAATACCTTACTGAGTCGGAGAGACCCCCCAAAGAAGAGAAGAGAGTAGAGGTAGTTTATTAACAAACTCCAAATCTCTCTAGTTAAGTAAATTCAAACTCAAGTTCAGTCATTTCAAGGGAAGTCTGAGCAAAGGTCATATATTCCTACCTTTTTAAGCCATGTGTGGCTAACCCCAAATTTGATTCTAGTAGGTTTGAATTAATATATATATATATATATATAATAGCAACACACACACACATACAAACAATTTTTTGTTAACTTCTTCAAGATAATTTTTTTAATTTAATTTTTATTTTATATATCTTATTTTGATACTAAATATTCAGTGAAATCTCAAAAAATATATGATTGTAATATGTTGATATGTTTGAACTATTATAAGCTACTTGATATCAAGTTTAACTGCAATTTAAATCATGTGAGTTAATTTCAAATCACTCTATATGATTTATGTTGGCTTGATATCATTCAATTTTGAGTCAATTCATTTCGACTGAAATGATATAACTCAATTATGAACTGAGTTCGAGCCAACAGGACTGAATATTTTGAGATTGAGCCAAGCCAAATTCGTTTGAACCTCAACTTCCAAGCCATCACAGTGGCGGTAGTGTTCCAAAAGTGAAGGAAAGATGGCATGAGATCTAGTCCTTAAATGGAACAGCTTTTACCAGGTAGGCTAAACCTATTATTCATATAAAAAGAAACATCCTTGAGATGAGCAATTTTTTTTGTATTTTCCCAGAAAAACAACTTTGAATTTGAACAAAAGAATATATGCATATACCGGCAAATTATTTGACATGTACCAGCATACCAAATTTTCTGTTACTTTCCTATAACAAAACATACTCAGAAAGTTGAAAAATAAAATGTATTGGATTTAGCCTTATTCTAGTGTACATTGACAATATTCACCTTCTTTTGTAAATATTAACTAGTTCATAATTGCGTGACAATCCATGCTTGAATGCCCTAAGTTATAATTTCCAATTTCATGATAAAATTCTAATTAAATAGATTACATTGGAAAAAACACGATGCTAAGTAGAAACTGTTAGGAAACAAGTGCAGGAATTGAGAAAACCTGGGCTGAAATTGGGAATTTCAGCAATCTTCAAGCAGGCTTTTGAGATAAATCCCTTGGAAACCCTAGGAAAACTTGATTATAGATGAAAAAGTAGAAGAAAAACAAGCATGATACAATGGATTTCAATTCAAGAGGAAGATCCAGCTCTCTCAATCTCTAGCCGACGGCTAAAGCCCAAAACACCTAAGAGAAAACTTAAAAACTGCAAAAAACCCATGACCCTCATCCTAATTCCCCCCCCCCCTTCTCTTTAGAGAATATAAATTAAATGCCTAATTACTAAACAAGCCTCCTTAATAAATTTCCTCCTAATTCCTCCCCCTCCTATTTAAAATTGCATTTAATTCATGGGCCCACAAAGGGGGCCAGCAGCTCCCTAGTCTGCCTGGTGTAAACCAGGTGCAAACCCTAGTTTAGGGCCGGCTAGACCAGTCCACTTTGGACCGGTCTAACAATCCAAAGCAGAAAAAGAAAATGGTTATAGATATATTGACCAACTTAATTGTGAAATAACCAAAAATTATGAAATCAGTTAATGTGACGTGTCATGATACTTTAAAAAACAAATGAATAATTATTTAAAGTTTTTTATTACAAATATTCAGAACTCGTGCATTTTCAAATGCAGTGTAAAATAATTATAAATTATGTTGAAGAATCACATATTTGGTAATAAATAAATTAATTAAACCATCTTTTGTGTTGAGTTGGAAATAGAATAAATTTAAAATTTTGTATTAATATATTATTATTATTATTATTATTATTATTATTATATATAACAAAAATAGAACTATGGTATTACAAGGTTGAAAGTGCCAAATAGAGTTGATGTTGTCAGTATGGTCAGAGGCAATGTAGGGTGGTAGCAAACCTTGCGAGAGTGCAAGGATAGATCTGAGGAATGGGCATTTGTGAGAATCAAGGACAAATAACAGGGGCTAAGAGAGCTATGGGAGCTCACGGGGAGATGAGCTGTAAAACCCAAAAATTATCGATCGAATGCGTCACGACGAAATTAGGCAAAATTTCGAAGTCGTCATAATTTGACGCAAATAATTTTCTTAAATTCTACACAAAACTTCGATCGAAATGGTATGAAGAACCTATACCTAATTTTGCACGATTTTAAAACTAAAAATCGTCGAAGTTAGTTAAGTAATAATTAACCATTATACCCAATTTACCCTCATGAATCCTTAAGGAAATTTTTAGGAGAAGGGGTGGTACATGCATAAATTTGCATTTAACACTTTTCCCTTAAGCCTCCATTCAGTCCCTTGGCTCCTTCGTTTGGCCACACGCGAGAAAGGGGAGGAGGCTCGGTTGCTTGCGAAATCCGACGGCGGCGGCAGGTTTTCCGACGAAGTCTTGGGGGGAAATCAAAGGGGAAATGCTAAGGAAGAAGAAGGTAGGCTTCTCTTGCAAGGAAACTCAATTTTTCCCTAGATTTTCTTATGTTTAAAAATTAGGGTTTGCTCAAATGTTATTTCATAGAATAATGATAGGGAATTGTTTTAAAGCATGATTCTAACCCTGACACTTATTTTATTTTCAATTTTTTTGAGGATTTTAAAATTAGGGTTTTCAAAAATTTAAGTTTTTTTAAAAGTGTTTTCACAACTAACATTCCTAATAGTCTTAGGAATGTTTCTTTTGGGGTGAAATTAGGGTTTGACTAAAATTTTTATGTTTCTAATTTTTTAAATTAATGAAAAGTGTTTTCACAACTAACATTCCAAATAGTCTTAGGAATATTTTCCCTAAATTCTACATTTATTTAATCCAAAAATAATTAGGTTTAATGATAATATAGGTTCCTAAATTATGGGTTTTAATTAAATCTAAAAATTTTATGTTAAAGTTCATTAATTGCTTAGGTAGAATAAATAGGAAGGGAAATTTAGAGAATTGAAATATTTAATGAGAACTTTTAATAAGATAATTGACATGTATAATTAATTTTAGTAATTGTGTTCTTTAGGTGTTAAACCTAAGACGAGGTCGGTTCAAGGAGTTTTGCGAAGAGCTTAAGATAAGTAACATTACATTCTAAATTTATGTTTTTCTTTTAAGTATGTTCATGTTACATTGCACTTTACATGTTAGATAGAAAGCTTTTCATACAAAAGTTCATGTTGCATTGCACTTTACATGTTACATAAAAAGCTCTTCATACTAAAAGTTCATATTACATTGTACTTTGAATGTTAGATAAAAAGCTCTTCATATGTCAAAGTTCACTTTTATGTTTAAATCAAATTCATCATATGTATGTTTGATATTGTTAAATCAAAATGTTATGATATCAGGATGCAAGTTTGTGCATGTTGAGATGGAGTATCAAATACGGTGCACTTGCACAATACGGCTCTTCGGGGCTAAATGATGATGAATGGTCAAATATGATATTGTACCTAATCAGTACAATATGGGTATTATGGTATGGATGTATAATATATGCATAAGCTAGAGGTATATGAACATATGATACAATAGACATCATTTAATAAATAAATGTGTTGAGCATATGATACTTAACATATGGCATTGACATACACAGCATTTGACATCGACACATAGAAAGCATATAACATATATGAAGGAATTAATTACTGGACTACTTTTGCATGTAAATACATTACTCGCTTTGCATATTGATTTATTTACATTGCACATAAATTTAGATGTAATTGTTATTTGCTGAGTGTTAACTCATTCCCTAGTTTTGGGATATTTTCAGGATACCATGCTACTAAGTGAATGACTGAACGACTTTGGTTTACGTACAACCATAGAGGACCGGATGACAGGCTTCTTATGTATATTTTTTTAGTTGTGGAATGATTTTGTGGGTGGATGTTGACATGAAAGAAATTTTTTATCCACCTTTGTACTTCATTGACTTATTATATAACATGTTTTATTAATATTGGAAGTTGTTTTTAGATGTTCTAATCTCTGTTTAAAATTGTGCAATGAGAGGCGCGCGTTGAGGCGCGCCTTTGCGCAATTCCTCCCAAAAACGCCTCATAGCCTACGCAATTTTGGTCTTGCAAGAGGCGTACGCCTCACAGGGGCTGAGGCGCGCCTCAGAGGCGCAATTGCGCAATTCCTTGTGAGGCGTACGCAATTCTTATTCTTTAGTTGTTTTAGATTTACATATATGTCACATTTTATTTTTATTGAAATGCTATGTTTTTAACATTTTAGTCCGACATCCGTTCCCGCCTCGTCTATACGAACTCACCGGACCGGGTTGTGACATGAGCGATGATAGGGAAAGCACAACAAAGCTGAAGATCTTAGGGACTAGAGGAGTCGAGGTAGTTCGCAAGTGTTTCTACACTGAACTTCACAAGAATTAGGGCGTGCAAGGACATCACAAGCGCTAGGATAAGCTTTAAGTAATGAGAGAACACGAGGATTTGAAATTCATCTAATTATGACAATTTTCAAATTCCTCAAAAAATGAAATATTGGAGGAATTTAAAACTCCTTGGTGAAATACTTTGGATTTATTTTAAACTCAACAAAAAACCTAAAAATGTAAAACCCCTGCATTTCACATGTAATGCATTCATAATAAACTCAACCAAGTAGCCCATTAATGAAAACCATAATCTATACAGGAATCATAACAATTATGATTGGTCCCAGTGATACAACACAAGAATGTTGAATTAATCTACAATATGTTATACAAAATTGGGACAAAAATAAGTCATAAAGTCCAAAAAAATTAAAATTAAATCAATGAGATTGAGGATGGAAAGCAAAGGAGAATACCATGAGAAGGTTCTTCTTAAGACCTATGCCTTTTTGAAACAACTTTGCCACTTGATAAAGAGCCTTTGGCTGACCAGCATTAGCTGCTGTGAGGAAATACTTGCAGGCTAGTGTAACATCCTTTTTCATGCCAATGCCTTTGAGATACAACACGCCAAGGTTATAATGACCCCCAGGCTCTTTGTTTTCAGCAGCCTTCTCAAAATACTCTCTTGCCTACACAAAACATATGATTTTAATTCCAAGAAACGAATTACAAAAAAGATTCAACCGATACAATGTAATCCCTCCGATTCACAGCGCTAACAATAATGTTTTAAATCTTCATAATGCTTTGTGATTAAAGTAATAGGACATATACTTGAAAGTTGGATTTCTAAGGTATTGTTTTCTGTCTCGAGACCAAACAGATAGGGATGTACACTGAAAATTAACGTATTATGTATCTATAAATTAAACAGGAATAATCTATACAAAAGTGTGCATAAGATGCGGTAAAAATTTTGTACTAATGCCAATATTTTTGTCAACTACCATTAAATATCATAATTGTATTAACAAAACTAAACTGATAGTGGGGACAGACGGGGTAGTACGATGATGAAGCCATCTCCCCACTGCTCAAGACTAGTAGGGAATGACAAATTACTTGTTAAAAATGATGAAAGCAGGTAAGAAAGATGAAAACTAAAGTGTGTAAGAAGATGCTTGAAAAACCACCTTACGAAGAAAAGCAACTTTTAATATTTGTTGAAAATCTTGAGTATTTTTTTCCTTATCTTAAACTTCAAAACAACAAGCTTTTCATAAGTGATACCAATCGTATAATGGCACTTGTAATGAGCTATTCGTCATATCAACTATACACAAGGGATTATTCTGATACGAGAGGGGGCCGCAGCCGGCTCAGCATTCAGGTCCAGCAAAATTTGGACCAACCGAACTAGGAGGATGGGGCAAGAACAGCAGGGAATTCGGCCCGCCTTGTGATGGGAAGGAATTAAGGAAGATATTTGAATTCAAAATAGGGAGGGAATTAAGTAAGACAAGAGGGCTGTTTTGAGGGGAATTAAGGGAGCTTATTTAAAGATTATTCTAGGGTTTATGGGGATTATGTGAGATTTGATTTATATTATAGTTTTCTTTCATCTTTGAGGGCTTCCTAGCAGTGTCTAGGTAGTTTGGGAGAGTCAATCTACCTCTCTAATTGTAGATCATTGTATATTGCTTTCATTTTGAAGTATAAATCCAAAAAATCAGCCACCGTTTCTCACAAAAAAAGTTCGAGGCTTAAGCCTCAAAGCATTTTTCATTGGAATTGCGCTGAGGAGAGCCTCACATTGTGCAATTTTAAAAAATGTTCCATTCCTCAACTACCCCCTTATGTACACCTATTGATTCAACTAAGTTACACATATCAAATTTTGCAACATCATTTGTACAAAATTTACAAGACCTCCATGTTCGAATTTGTAGAAAGCAAGCTATGATTTATAATAAATACAAGTTTACAATCAATCTAAATAAGAGGTATGTTGAGTTCTTTGAAGTGGATATAGTTATGGTACCATCTATGGAGATTCGCTCCAATAACTTCCAAGAAGTTAATAGTAAGGAAGATTGGACCTCACAAAATTGTCAAGAAAACAAATGAAAATGCTTATGAGTTAAACCTACGAAATAATGTGGGTATCGGTCCCATATTCAACACAGCTAGATCCTCTTCCATACGCTATGTTTACTGCCCCTCCTTATTCTTCTTCTCCACATCAACCCCTTCCTACAGCCACTAATACCCCAAGATCTCAACCTAGTTCATCATCCTCTGAAGCTTCCAATTCACACCATAATTTTCACAACACATTCCAGATCTCATATACGACATTAGATTTTCGATGAGCATTCTAATACTTCACTAGATGGCAGGAAAATAAAAATACTTGGTCAACTAGAAGGATCTTCCTTCCTTTGAGAACTCCTAGGTGTGCTTGACGAGCTTCAGTGGTATACTTCAAGAATTTCAAGACCGACATTCGTCAAGGTCAAATCTTTTGAAAACAATCAGACAAAGCTAACGAGAAGCTCAGAGTTTATAGCATCGGCATCGCCAAACATTGGGACTTCACCGCCTTATTCACTGGATCGTTGCGTATTTTATTTTTCTAATGTGTTTCCTTTATGAAAAGATTGTAATGAATATATTTTGTATTTTGATCTTTGATATTTCATGTCTTTTGATACTCATTAAATTACTTTTTAACAAGAATGTTTCTACGCCACATTTATTTTAAAATGCATAGACATGAAGTCATTAAGCTCAGAGATTCTACTTGAAAATCATGTCCCTTCTACTTGAAACATTCATATAAATCTGGTCAAAATTTTACAAGAAATAGAGTGGCTCAAATCTCCCGAAACAACATTGGTAAGGCAATTTAGCAAGATATTATTTAAGTGTTCATTAAATTAAATGTTGCTTCTCGTCATAACAAATATCAAAATCTTATACCGTTATACCATAAGCTTACGAAACTAACAAGAACAGAAGCAAAAAAAAACCATACCTTGGTTAAATTCTTCTTGTCAACTCCATAACCTTTGACATAAAGATATCCCAACCCATTGTAAGCAGAGTAGTGTTGTTGCTTTGAAGCAAGCGTCAGCCACTCCAGAGCCTTGGAATAGTTCCTCTCCACACCAGCCCCTCTAGCATAAATCTCCCCAAGTAGTTCCATCGCCCTTGGCTCCCCCTTCTCCACAGCCTTTGAAAACCAGTATAATGCCTTGTTATGGTCTCTCCTTACCCCTCTTAGGCCATAGTAGTAAAACAGTCCAATCCGATACATAGCAGCAGCATTCCCCTTCTGCGCCTGGTACTCTGTAATCTGGAAATCTTCATCGTCCTCTCCTCGAGACTTCCTCAACGCCTCCTTGTTCTCCTCCGTTCCACTGTGGATCCGAACAGGCTCGATAACTGGCGGATCCTTCGAAATAAGAAAGCTCGCCACCGCAGCTTCCGCCAGCTCTGCGTAGAGCTTAACCGCTTTATCAAACATCTGCACAGACAAACAGATGAAAACCCTAAAACGGGGGGTGCGGGGAGAAGCGAAATTCGGCGAAGGATCAGCGTCAAGCTTACATCCTGACGATAATATGTATAAGCGAGGACCATCTTAGACTGCATATTGCCACCCTCAGCAGCGAAGCTGTGGTAGAGGAATGACTTGGCGCGGCTATGGCGGCGGAGGAGACCGGTGCCATACAGGAAGGCGATGGTAGATTGTGCGTGAGGGAAGCCGGCGGAGGCGGAGGCCTCAATCTGAGAGGCAGCAGCGTCCATAGCAGAGGGTTCCCCAGATGAGGCGGCGTAGATCATGTCACGTACGCCTGAGAAATAGAGGGAATAATGTGCGTCATCGGAGGAATTAGAGGGGAAAGCGGAGGATGGCTCAAAGATGGGGCGCCAGGATCCAGGGTCGTGATCATCCTCGGAGATAGATTCCGGATCGCCGAATTCCTCCCAGTCCGCGGAGTCGTCAGTGGCGGCGTCCGCTGATTCGCCCGCGTTGGATAAGGCGGCTGAATCCTGGAAATCTTCGTTAGTTATGACAAGCAGGAAAGGGCGAAGGCAGTGGCAGATGGGGAGGAGGCAGAGGAGGAGTAAGACAGCGGCGTGGAGAGATTGCCGGCGAAGCATCCCGAACGATTCTTCAGTTGTATTGAACTAACTACTGGGCGCAGGGTCTCAGTTCTATTGAAGGAATCCCAGACATGTTCCGCGCGCTACCCCGCCCTTCTTGCTTTATCAATTGGACCATCGGCCCTCCTGACTGGACTTCTTTGCGTTCTTTCCATCTCTTCAACTATTTTCAGGGAGATGTTTTGATTTTTTTTTTTTTTTCCATCACCTTCAATTTTGTTGTTGTTGAGACATTTATGTCAATTAAGTCAGATTTATACCGATCGCATATATAAGACTCAAATTCAAAATCTCTTTAATTCGTAGTCTAAGCTCTCAACCAATAGATTAAGGTGAGATGTGTCTTCAAATTATTCTTTGTGGAGGCAGGATGTAGCGCTGTCTCTGGAGGCCAATCAAGTACAGCCACTTCAGCAGTTTCCAACTGTGGTACTGAACGGTATTGAGCAGGTGGTACCGAGCGAAGGGGTGACATGACGTATTCTGATTAGTCTCTGAACTGCATTCGACGTCCACATGGAATAATTTTTCGTGAAAATAGATTGATAGGTCAAGATTCTTAATCAGATAAATGGATCAGCAAGCTAAAATTTTGATAAAAATTAAGAAAATTATACTAACAAAATTAAGAAAAAAATATTAAAAGTGTCATTTTTAGATTAAAAGGGAGTTTGCATTCAACCCGAATTAAACCTATTTAATAAACAATCAAAAAATCCAACTCAAATTGATCTATTTAATTTATTAAATGAGCCCATCCAAATTTGAATTTTTTTGATCTGATTGTCACGTTATGTCATTTATTAACACTACTAGTATATACATAAAATATTTAAACATCACTGAAATTCTCATCTATTTATATATTTTATATTTTTATATTTATTTTTATAATGTCTATAAATTTAAATCACGTTAAAATATATGAATAAAAATATTAACATTTGTACAAGTAAATATAAAATTTTAATTATTATATATGCAAATACCATTCAATGATATGTACCTTACTCCCCAATAATAAAATATAGCTCACACAACCAGCTAATAAAAATATAAATAATTAAATTCAATGATAAATGATATAAAAAATAATAATAAATTTCACATTTTTATAGCAAAATAATGACCACTTCATCAATGGTAGCAGCAGATTTAAGTTTTATTTGATAAGATTTTATTATTGTTTTATGAAGTTATTGTAGATAAAATAATATTTTTTTAAATTGTTGTAGAAGATAATTTCTTAATACAATTTTTTTAAATAAAAAAAATAATGATCAAATAAAAATTATGATTGTGATATGAAAAGCAAAATAATAAGAAAGCCATTCAAAACAAAATTTTAGGCTTCATTTGGGATAGTTCTTGGCCTTTACTTTTTCACTGTTTTTAAAAAATATTGTACTAAAAAGTTACTTTAAAAAATAATAAGAAAACTATTTTCAAACGAACCTAAGGCTCCGTTTGGGACGATTTTGTTTTTTACATCAATTTTTTAGTACAATTTTTTTTTTTTTTAGAAGAAAATTTTTGTGCTAAAAAAATTATTTTAAAAAGCAATAAGAAAATTATCCCAAACAAAATCTTAGTCTGCATACCACTAGGAAAGATTTTAGGACTTGTTGATCTCAAAGCATCATAGGGAAACCAAGAGGAAACTGAACTTAGCAGCTTTCACTGTTAGTTTTTTTTTTTTTTTCAATTTTAAGTAAAAATTTGAGTCAAAACATCCTAATTTTAATCATTATAAAATTTAAAATTCTGGTTTCTTGTTTAGCAATTTTAAGTAAAAATTTGAGTCAAAACATCCTAATTTTAATCATTATAATTTTTAAAATTATTAGATTTAGTTTGAGATGAGCATTATAAACTAATCAATAATAATTTATATTACACTTATCTCAAAAAAATTTAATAATTTTAAAATTAATCATGATAGAATTTTGTTCAAAATATCCTAAACTATTTATTTCCCAATTTTACTAAACCTCAACATTTCATAAACAGTTCTTTCAAAAAGGAAAATGAACAAAAAAAGTTCTGCTAAGATCTCAATGGAAAAAAAAAATTTAATGTTTATAATACATGAAACACAGCTACATCACTGCTGCAACTAACTAAACAAGAAAATAATTTCTAAATTGAGAGGAGAAAGGGGGCCTTACTGAAAACAATTAGAACCATCTAACCTGGGAACAATAAATATGAATCTAGTGTTGATAAAACCAAGCCAACGTCACTGCAACTAGCAATAATCAGAGCCTGAAATCTGTGGCCGGAGACGATTAATCTTGCTCTTCAACACCTACGGCGATGGCCGACAAGCTTAAGGCTTCGTTTGAAACGGCTTTCTTCATGCTTCTTAAAGTAGTTTCTACTTTCTAGTACAAAGATTTTAATTTTTTGTACTAGAGAGCGGTTTTAAGAAGCAGTAAGAAAGTCGTTTTAAACGAAGACTAAGACTGCAATCAATTTCATAGTGGCAAGAAGGATAGCATTGTTTCATGAATGGTGTACCATACATTGTATCGATGGATGACCTGGTAGCTTTGGAGACTCTGGACTGCTACGAAGAAGGCCTGCTCTTATAGGATTTGCTAGCAGAAGCTCCTGCAAGTCCTTGGGGAGCACTTTGAAAACCGCCTGAAGGTCTGCTTTTAGTTTGCTGGATGTTGCTGATGATTCTATACTATCATTTGCTGACTGCAGCAAATGATGAAACAAAAAGTTAAGACGAAATGTAACCTCTGATCATGATAAGTATATCGGCAGAAGAAATAAGTTAGAACAAATAACAGAGATAAAATAACATGAGAATTGAGTGGGTGCAAGTCACCAATGTTGGGCTGTTAAATCCTATAAAACAGAAAAAGCAAGGGATTTTTTTTTTTTCAAGTTCTAGACTGATTTTGAGTAGAAGTTCAAGTCTTTTGCAATGCATTTAAAAATACCATCAACACTGCATCAATGCATGAAGTACCTCAGAGATGGAGAAGAATTCATGGGCAAGTGTTGTTCACAGATGCAAGTGGGGCTTGGGTGCAAGCACAAAGAGGTTGGCGTCATCGACAGGGTAGCAAGTCATAGTTGGGCCAGCATGGGGTCGGCTGCGGCTGGGAAGTAGCAAGGTCACCAGGTCAGGGTTTGTTCACATTCGTAGGCGCAAAGGTTTCGCAGGTAAGCATGCAATGCATAGCAATTGTGAAGAGCTTCGTGACAGTTAAATTTCATAAAAATTTACTCCCAACAAAATCAAAACTTTAAAACTCCTACATTTTTAAACTGCAGGACACCACAAATACTCTGTGGCATATTCACATCGTGTAAAAGGGAAGAAAATAATTCCACTAAGTAAACTTAAAACAATTAAACCTCCTTAAGTAAAAAGGGAGAATGGTTGTAATAAAGATAGGCAGATTGAGCATTGAATCTTAAGCGGAATTAGGGTATATAAACTGACTGGGGCGTAACTAGAGGCCTAAACAAAAGATTAATCAGCATGATTTTTCAGCATCTGAAGAATGACTGTCTCATTTACAGCCTTACAGGTATAAGTTGAAGATAATTTTCCAAGGAAATATTGTGCTGACGCTCTTATCAGGATCCCAAATCCCAGGCTGGAACTAGACATTGAAATAACAACAAATCACCAGATGAACAAATTAGTAAAGTGTTTGTTGAACTCCTACATATATAGCACACCACCATCAATTTTTAAATTAAGTGTTTGTTAACTCCTACACGCTTTGTTTTGTTGTGTATAATAGGGTTATGTGCTACATACATTACAATTATATTATCAATAGAAGCTTTTTCATCCACAATATTTCACAAATGCCATGTGCAACAAATCGAAATACAAATTTGGCTCTACTTCTAGCAACAACACTGTAGTTTTTTGCTTCTCCAAATTATTAGATTGTCTCCTAAAATGTATAGCATCTAGAGATAGATCGCCTATCATTAATATCTCCCGCTCAATTAGCATTTGTACAGGTTTCTAACTAGAGACGGCCTTTATTTTGAAATATGAGTCATTTTCCTATTGTTCCTTTGTTGCATCTCACAATACTCAATACATCTTCAAAATATGTAGATCTAGGTGAATGCATACCATCTTACAGCATAAGCTATGACTAGTCTAGAATGGGCTAAATAGATTAATATCCAGACTAATTTTTACTAACATTCACGCTCAACTACTTCATTTTCAGTAGCTGGTTTTAGTCTTAAGTTGGGCTCGGTTGGAATTTCGACAGCTTTATAACCAGTCATCCGTGTTTCTTCAAATCAAATATACTTGCATTGGTTAATGAAAATACCTTCCATAGATCTAGAAAATTCCATGCTGAGAAATACTTGAGCTTTCTACGCCTTTAATATCAAACTCAACCGCATGCTTTTTCTTCAAGTTATTGATCTCAATAGAATCATCTCCAGTTATGATATGTCACCAACATAGATAATAAGAATTATTTTACCTTTTACAAAATGTCTAAAAAAATGTGTGATAAGCTTGACTTCTTGATTCATGTATACTTCTTACAAGTCTCTATCAAAGAATGTGTTACTAACAAGTAACATCAAATTGACGAAGTGGCTAATTAAAGTTCTCTACAAGAAACAGAAGTATTCTGATAGATTTAATTTTGGCAATAGTAGTAAGGGTTTCTTGGTGCTCTATATGACGGGTCTGAGTAAAGGTTTTTTGTATCTTTCCAAGGATCAATCAGCTTTGGATTTCACAATGAACGCCCATTTGAATCTAACTATTTTCTTGTCTTTAGGTAGATCAACAATACTCCATGTGTTGATCTTTTTCAGAGCATTTTCTTTTTCATCATAGCTAACTTATAATTAATGCTTCCAGAATAGTTCTTGGAATAAACAAGACAGAGATTCTGGATGCAAATGCTTTATAACCTTCTGATGTTCTATCATAGTATAGATATTTGCATTAGTACCTTTGGTATTTGTTCTCCCTTTTTTTAAATGCAATAAGAATGTCAAGATCTGAAGATAGAATGGGTGTGAAAGAAATGCTATCCTAAGAAATAAAATCATCCCTTGATTAATCAAACATTACATCTGATTAAGAAACAATTAGAGTACTTCTGCATAATTTCTTCTTTCAATATACCTAAAAATCTAGTGGAATAATTGTGACTTTGAGTGATCAATTCATTAATAAGAGTACATGTTTTAGATATCTTGGGTCTATTGTCCAGAGTAATGGTGAAATAGATGGGGATATTATTAGTAGAATTCAAGTTGGATGGTTAAAAGTGGAGGAATGTATCGGGCTTGTTGTGTAATAGAAAGTAACCCTCAAACTTAAGGGTAAATTCTATAAGATGGTGGTGAGACCTGCAATACTTTATGGCACAGAATGTTGGCCATTAAAAGAGAAACATAATATTAAGTTAAGTGATGCAGAAATGAGGATGCTTAGGTAGATGAGTGGATTTCCTCTTAGTATGAAATTTCACCACCTAGCACTTAAAGCGGATGGTGGGGGAATGGATGATGGGCCCGATCAAGATCCCATGGTTCCGTCGTCCCGGGCCATCGTGGTCCCTGGTCTACTTAGTCAGAGGAGGTAGTCGACCCAACCTGACAGAAGGATCCTTGTCGGCAGCCATGAGTTTCTTCGTCCAAGGGGACCTTGTAGACCGGGGTTGAATGTTTGTCTAAGGGGACAAATTTGAATCCACCTTAGCTAACAGAGGGCTTTGTGCCCTATCGATCATATCCTATTGATTCATATCTCAAGGATTTGATGCCAATAAGGAACGTAACGGCGCTGGCCATAACCGGTATTTCGTGGTGCTATTTGGCGGCAAAACCACTCGGTTCAGAGGGCCCCAGGTCGTCATAACCATTTATCCTGCGGTGCCATTTGACGGAAAAACCACCGGTTAGAGGACACGTACCATGTCCTTACTAGCAGGAGACTGTTTTGAAAATGGATCCTAGTGATATTTTCGACTAGACATTTGGCTCTTTGTGAGCTAGAGTAGTTTTTATTTTTGTCCACCTCAGCAAACTATTACGGATGGCGGATAAATTTTGCTTTAAGTGTTGATGGATTTATTTCGAATTTAAATATCTTGAAATTTTAGGATTTTGAGTGGCATTTTTGGAGTTAAGTGATGCCAAAGGATTTTGAGTGGCATTTTTGGAATTTTGTTTTAATTAAAACTAATTAAGATATTTACAATTTAATATTTATTTAATATATAAAAAAAATTAAATCCTTTGGCATGGCGGATTGACGGGATTTGGCCGGAGTAGCGCACGGGAGGGAGACAATTACCTTCACGCCGGCGAGCTCCTGTCTTGCTTTTGATCTCACAAGAAGGGAAAGCCGGAGGAGCAAAGTCGTCCGACCACAAAGGGGATCGGGGAAGCAGTGCACGCAAGGGAGAAAGTATCTTCACGGCAGGCGAGCTCCCGTTCTTGCTTTCGATCGAAACGTCGTAATGTCCAATCAAATAGGAAGGGAGAGTCGTCAAGGAGCAAAGTCGAGCAGCAAGATGGAGTAGATCGTCTCTTCCTCCCTCTCTCTTTGCTTACGGGATTCGGCCGAAGGAGAGCACGTGAAGGGTAGAAAGTTATCTTCACAGCACGAGCTCCCGTCGTTGCTTGCGATCAGACAGGAAGGGAAGCCGACGAAGGAGCAAAGTCGAACAGCGAAGGAGCCGGAGAAGCGTTTCACGGGGAGAGAGTTACCTTCACAGGCAAGCTCCCAATCTTGCTTCCGATCTGACAGAAGGAAAAGTCGTCGAAGGTGCGGGCTCGACCAGCCACGGGAAAGCCGAAGAAGCGCTCGACGGGGAGAAAGCTACCTCTACAGCGAGCGAGTTCTCGTTCTAGCTTCCGATCAAAACGTCTTAACTTCCGACCAAACAGGAAGGGTACGTCGTCGAACGAGCAAGGCCGAGCGAGAGAGGGAGAGAACGAGAGTGATCGTGAGAGGCCGAAAGCCTCTCCTTTTCGTATCTTTAACGACGCTCCAGTGAGGTCATGCGAAGTCGTGCGATGAAACGATGTTGGAATGGTTCCGACGTGCAAAGCGACGTGGCCACGACGTGCGGGATGAGGGCAGGTGAGATTTGATTTCTTTTTTTTTTTACACGATACAGAGGGTCAACATATACGTGAAAAGGTTGGAGTAGCTCTAGTGGTAGATAAGATTATAGAGAGCCTCCTTAGATGGTTTGGTCACATAAAACGGAGGCCTTCCGATGACCCGATTAGGAGAGTAGATGTATTAGATTGGGCTTATGTTAAAAAAGGTAGAGGTAGAACTGAAAAGACTTGGTTAGAAAATATTAGAAATGACCTTTCTTTATTAGATTTAAATGAGAATTTGACTTTTGATAGGGCACAATGGAGAAAAAAGAATCCTGTAGCCGACCCCACATGGTGGAATAAAGGCTTGATGTTGTTGTTGTTGTAATATACCTAAAAATCTCATAAATGATGATGATCCATTTACGGTATTTCGGCCCATGTGTTTGATAAAATAATATTTAGCAAAGTTGTATTTAAAGTACTCTCCCGAATTTTCATATTCGTATTCATGTTAGAATTAATTAAAAGAATTGATAATATTTTCCAAAAATATCTTCCTTGACTATATTCTCTCTCAAAGTGAATTTTTTTTAAAAGAAATGATGATCCTTGACAAAGCTTACATCTATACTTTCAAATAATTTTCTTAAGTAAAGATTAAAGCATTTGTATCCCTTTTAATTAGAAGGGTAGCCAAGAAAATATATTTTTCAGCTTTAAAATCAAGTTTAACCTAAAAGTATTTGGTATGTGCATATAACAAAAACAGCTAAAAACGTTTCCTAAGCATTACTTTTCTGCAGCTTTCTTCTCTTGCACCTCCGCAAAAACTTTTCCGATTGAAGGAAAGATTTTTTCCAATATTTAACGACAAACTTCATAGTACTCAATGTTTAAGCTTGCAAGAAACTAAGAGATACGACCAAAATCAATCATCTTTTCTATAATAATTGCAGTATTCAAGTGATTTCCTCTCTTAGAAATTGAAAATTCCCAAGTGTTACCAATTTCTTTAAGAAAATCAAAATATTTTATTAAAAAAATCTCATCTTGACGAATCTATCCAAGTCGTAAGGTTAGTTAATACAATGTTAGAAAATAAAAAAAAAAATAAAAAAGGAATACATGTCTATTAGGACGTAGTGACTATGCAGTGATGATCGCAAATAAACTTTCCTAAGGTAGCAAAAGTTTTTTTTTTTTTTTTGGTAAGTCATGTCACTAGACAACTTATTGTGTATACTACCGAAAAGAAGCTCAAGAAAAAGGAACTTATCTAATTGAACAGATATTCATGCAATAGAAGCAAGCATATATGTATTGCAAAACAGACATTTTCCTCATTGCTGAGACAATTTTAAAATAATATATGATCTATCTATTTGGAAATAGTTTGATTTCACTACGAATATCATATACACATTTTTTTACTGTGGAGACGTTTTCCTAAAAGGACAAAATAAATGATTTTATACTCATTTTCTGCATATATATATATAGAGAGAGTGAGAGAGAGAGATTTCTGTATATATATATATATATATATATATATATACAGAGAGAGAGAGAGATAAAAAAGAATCAAAAGTCCCATTGTGGGACATTTTGATTTATCTTTAAAGAATTGGGGGACCAAAATTATCCTTTGATATAGTTGGGGACTACTTTGGTCCTTCATGAAGAGTCAAGGGATCATATATGTATGTATATATATACACATACATATACACATATATACATATACACATACATATACACATATATACATATACACATATATATATATAATTATATAATACATGGGTATATCTATATGAGTGATGTCACCACACTCTTACTGTACTTCACCATGCAACCAGACATTAATGCAATATTTAGCATACCCCCATGACAATGCTACCAAAAACATGAAAGGAGAACACAAAATCAAGGACTCACTTGTGCCTCATAGTGGAATGGAAGGGAATTCATTAGGATCATGGAGAGGAAGGTGGGAGCTTTGTCCCTCTCCCCTTTCACAACTCTTCTCGAAACACAAGGGCAAGTAGTTCTCCAAACACAAGGGTAAGTAGTTCACTCATAGGGATATTCATTATACTTGCATTCTTGGAGGCTTGGAGCAAATATAAGAAGAAAATCACATGGAGTCCCCTTTTTTGTCAAACCCTCTCTCCAAGTCTATGCAGTGGCATCTTAGAAATAGTTATCCGCTTCATCAAATCATTCCTCAATAAAAAGAACAACTCTCAATGAAAGGAGATGAAGGACTCATGAACACATACATTAAAACTATCAGGTTTATAAAGGCTCGCCCAATGAGCACTTTATTCATCTCAAGGCATTCAAATTCTTCTCATAAACGCCCTCTTTTTGAAAATCTTCTACTCAGCTTGGCATATTCTCTCAAGAGATCCTCCATACATACCATCCCAGTAAACTCTCTCACATTGTAACATACAAAAATTTCCCAGCCAATTCATGTTCAGCTTACAAATCATGTCAGCTACCATATTAGAAGCATCTTGGGAACATGCAAAAAACCTATAAAGCTTTGATAATGATAGATAACCCTACCTATCTCCAAATATAAATAATGGGTTAAATCTCCATCCCTACTCAGACATCATGATATATGTTCTATCTCAACACTCAATGAATATAACAAAAGGCTATAGACCCCAAAGATTAATAGCAAATAAGTACGAATTACATTAGGTTTGATCCTTTCCTCAAAGGTACATAGCCAACCATCATGATGCATCCACGTTCAGCCCAAAAGGTCTCTCTCAAGCAGTTAAAAAAAAAGGTCTCTCAAGAAACCTCCACCCCATTTAAATAGTATAGCTATAATACAGTTGTTTTAACTATTGATCCCTCATTCATAAATCCTTTGTACAATTTATTTTCCTTCCATACAAACTACCGAATGGATTTCAATCTCTAATAATATTTTTTTCGTAAAACTAGGAACCACGTTTCATTGTTCATAATCATCTATTGTAAAATCAAGTATAATTTCTTCAACTACATTTACACCTCATATTCCATAATCACTATAAATCTTCTCATAGTGCATCCTACAATAATCTAAATAACCATTTAAATCGCCTCCAATAAAAATAATTTATTCCTCAAGTATACATTGTGGGAGATCATCCATCTTTAAAAAAAAAATGTTTTTTTTTTAAATGTCTTCTAATTCAACTTTAAGGGCACAAGCATCACCACATAAATAATATCCTCACTGATAGTTATCTTAAAAGTAAACAAACTATCAAATATTATATTCACCTTAATAACTTTAACTTTTAACTCGTTATTCACTATTATCACAACCACATTCTTATTGTTAACCTTTCAAACGAATAATTAACATTCAATTCAATCCATAATGTCCTTTAAATTTCTACTTTTCATTTAATTTTTTTTTCAACAAGCAAAATTTAATCTTTAATTAATCATTGTATCCACCAATTATCTTAACTTCACATTCTAAGCACCTAAATTTCATGCAAAAAATATATAATCTTACAATTATACCTAGTCAACCAATGCTTATTTTAAACTACAAGTGGGCTTGGTGAAATGCTATTGCATTTTTTTCTACTTTTCCCTAAAACAGGTTGATAAATTGTATCACACACAACTTTGTGTGTAACAGCTTAGCAAATTCAAATTGTGGGAGAATACCATACACCTGTTTTGGGAACATTTTGATTGCTCCACACTGGCAAATTGGGTCCCAAATCCATTTTGTTTGTAGGTTTCTTTTGGAAAGTTTAGCCATTTTCTTTATGATTCATGCATTAAAGATTATCATGTTTGCAGTGTTCATAGTACCTACATTGAGGCCAACTCTTTAGATTTTACTTAGAAAGTTAGAATTGCTGACTTACAGTATTTCCATTGGGTATGGATCTAATGGGGACTTCTCAATAAATTATCTTGTCTTCAACATTGAAATAATGCAAGTGATCGCTTTTTTTTTTAACCTACTGTTCTTCTTCTTTCTGTGCTGTCGTGCACATGCATCTAACTATTATGAAATATAGAACGAATTTACCAATCAAATAAACTATATTGACCCACTTGACTGATAGAAAAGCATGCTACCTGTATCTCGGCCAGTAAATGCTGCTCAATGGCATTAAAAGAATCAACAATTTCCAGTTCGGACATATTTGATATGAGTTTTTGTATGTCAGCGCTCATCCTAGCCTGCCTCCAGAGCCGCTGCTGCTCCTGCTCAGCAGCGGCCCTCTTTTTCTGGAACCACGGCATGAAGTTTTTCCCCTCCAAGAACCGCCTGGAGATTAAAATCAATAGAAACACCAAAAAGAAGAACCTTTAGAAATAAAAAAATTTAAAAATTCAAACTGCAACATGCATCAGAAAACAGCTACAATAGCTTTACTACCTATACAAGTCCAGCCAATTGGACCTAGTCCTTTTCGATAGAAATTTTCCCGGACCTCTTGCTGCCAGTGAACTGAGAAACTCGTCAGCTTTAAATGGAGGAAGTGCTGGCGGGCTACCAAACGGTGAGTTCGTTTCAGAAGGGGTGGTGGCTCTCATGTAAGGGCCGAAAGGTGCAAGGAAATTCGTCGTAAGCTCAAGGAAATGTCGCCGAAGGATCTCATTATTAACAACCGACATGGACTCATCAATCCTTTGAGAAACTCCAGCATCCACAAGCCGGTTAAGAATCGCAGTATCCGGTTTTGTTGTAGGATTGTAGCTGCTCCAAATAGCCTCCGTGTGTTTTGTCATGAGTGTGAGAGGTCCTTCTCTCCTCATCTTCACAGCATTCAACAAACTCGAAGGAGAGAGCCTATCAAACAAGAGCTGCCGGCCAGGCCGAGAAATTTGGGCTGTTGAGGGCGAGCGAGGGGAAGCGGGAAGCGCGCGAGTGGCATTGAGGCTGGGACTACCAACGGAGATGACATGGGGAATGTTGCGAAGGGCCTTGAGGAAGAAAAGATTAGTCACACCGAGGACCATTGGCGGGAACCTGTAACCTTCAGGGAGGGAATTGAGGCGGGCAAAGTCTGGGTCGTGAATGGTGAAGTACGGGCGGAAGTCTACGCTGCAGAGAAGTGGGGCTAATAAACTAACTAGAGCGGCAACAGCCTCGGAGCATTGTGTGGGAGTGGGAGCGATCACAAGAAGGGGCTCACCAACGACCATGAGCTCCCAAAGGGTCCAGAGATGTAAAAGAATACCGCGGAAGGAGGCGAATAAATCGGCCTCGTGAAAGAGGCCGAAGGCAACGGAGGCGTTGGGTGGTGGGAACTGAGCGGGGGCTGGGTCGTCGGGAGCCGGGGGAAGATGGGCGCGAAGGGCGGCGCCACCGATCGGGAGGTCTAAAGCTCGGCCAGGGGCTGGCGACGGCCAGGCGGCGACGTGAGAAGCGACGAGCTCGAGGGCCGTACGGCCGATGTCGAAGCAGAGCGGGCCAAGGATCTGGAGGAGAGGGCGGAAGACAGAAGTATAGGGAGAGTGCGAGAGGATAACGACAGACTTCTGCTCGCCTCCGCGCGGAAGCCGCTCGTCCTGGCGTTGACGGTTGAAGACGTAACCGTAAACGAAGCCATCACGGATGTCGGCGGAAGGGAAGCGGAAGGAGAAGATGGAGTCGTGGATAGAGGAGCGGTGGCGGGGATGGTGTCGGGACATGGAGTCGGGGAAGGAAGAGAAGGCAACGACGAGCTGATGATCAGGTGTGAGGGAATCGGGGGGGTAGCATTCCTCGACTACTTGCCCTTGCTCTAGGTCGAAGCGTATGATGCAGAAAGCAAGTACCCAACGCCGGAGTGCGCCTGGTCTGGGGTTAGGGTTGGGAGCGGATCCCGGTGAGGTGGGACCGCCTCGAGGGGAGAGGGACGGGGCGCGGTTCATGGCCGTCGCCGCCGCCGGAACGGGTTAGTCCCTAGATCCATCTTTTATCCCGGAGTGCCGCCACATTTGGACTCTCTCTCCGTGAACCTAGCTGGATTGGAGGCGGAGCAGTTGGAGATCGATGGGAATTGCGGTTCGCCGGCGGTAGGGTGGTCTACTCTACCAAGTGGGTTTCGATCTTCGTGGCCAGTGGCCAGTGGGCAGTTGGACGCCCAAAATTTTTTTTGCATATATTTCCAATACTTTGTTTTTGCAATACTAAGGCTTCGTTTAGGGAACTTTTATTTCATCCCGTGAACGTATGTAACTCTATGTTCAGCCATCAGTAGAATCGCGCCACACATTTTCATTATTTACCATGCGCCCCGACAACCCGACCCGGAACGGATCCAAGATTGCTCAGTATTGCTAGGTATTGGTCGATTTTGCTCGGCAATAATCAATACAGAGCAATACCGAGCAAATACCTAGCAATATCGAGCAAATACCGAGTTATACCGAGATTTTTCTAGCAATACCGAGCAAATACCCAGCAATACCGAGCAAAACCCTAGCAGTACCGAGCAAATCCCGAGCAAATACTGAGTTGTACCGAGTTGTAAAAAAACTCAGTACAACTCGGTATTTGCATGGTATTGGTCTTCACAGAGCAGTATTTCTCATTTTTGTAAAACAATACCTAGCAAATACCGAGCAAATACCGAGCAATACCGAGAAAATCGCGAACATAACATTCCCGGGTTCCGCTCCGAGTCAAGTCGTCGGGCCGCGCGGTAAAGAGTAAGAGCACGTGGCGACATGTTATTGGCGGCCGAACGTAGCTCTACGTCGGGTCAGAGGACGTAATAATTGTTCTCGTTTAGGACGGCTCTTTTATTGCTTTTTAAAACGGAGTTTTAGTACAAATTTTTTTATTTTTGTACTAAAACTCCGTTTTAGAAAACAATAAAAAATCTGTCCCAAACGAAGCCTAAGTTAGTGTTGAGATCGGATGCTCAAGTGCATGAGTGGATTTATCTTTAAAGACAGAATACGAAATGAAAAGATTGAAATAGCTCCAAAAAAAATAAGATTAGAGAGAGTCACCTTACATGATTTGGGAATATAAAATGATGGTCTTCCCATGACCCTGATTAGCAAGGTATAGGTATTAGATTTGACTTATATTAAAAAAGATAGAGATAGACCTAAAAAGATTTGGTTTGAAAATATTCGAAATGATCTTTCTTTAATAGATTCAAACGAGAATTTGACTTTTAACAGGATACAATGAAGAAGAAATGACTCATGTAGCCGACCTCACGTAGTGGGACAAAGACTTGATGTAGTTTTTGTGTTGTAATAGTTTAATAATTATAACACTAATATAATAATTTATAGACTTTGAATTTTTATAATTTTGTGAATTTTTTTATAAGCCACATTTGTTGCTTAAATAATAAATTATATTTTTAAAGATAAAGAAATTATTAAGTCACTATTTTTTTCTCGTATCAATTGTTATTATGGTCCTTAGTAGAGGTGCAACCATATTAAGTCAACTCGCATGTCGGCTCAGGCTCGACTCATTAATGGGCTCAAAAAGTCTAGCTCGAACTAGATTTCGAACTCGACGGCTTTATCGAGCTCAAACAACTCTGCGCTCGACTTGATTATTCGAGCGACTCGCTGAAAGCAAAACGAAAGAGCTCACGTTGATGATGGATCACATGCCGGAAGATGGGAACAACACGCTCAAATGCGAGATGAACGTTGGGATCGCAGTCAAATGCGAGATAGGTTAGATGGAGAATGAACAGTAGGATCGCACACGGTAAGGTTGGCGGGCGGGAAAATGAAATCGCAGATGAAAAAATGAAAGGCCAACTGTCGAACACGAGATCAGAACTCAGTTGCAAGATCGAAACTCAGGCGTGAAATCGGAGCTCAAAAGACTCTAGTTTGAGCTAGGTGTTTGACTCGATAGTTGAGCTCGAACATTCCCTAATTCGTGCTCGACTGAACTAACTTGTAGCTCTAGTTCTTAGCATCAATTCCCACACATCACCCTTGACAAGATGTTAGATTCAAATTTATATGTGGGAGATATCCTAACCCTACTCCCATACTAACTAAAATGATAAAGCAAAAGAAAAGAGAGATAGTATAGTAAAGAGCTTTATAGTAACAATGGCATGGACCTCTTAACCCTATACGTTATTGTTTTCATGAAGAAATATACCGAGCACAGAAGTTAATTCAACAAAACCATAAAAAAATACGGACTTAAATGCTTCACATGCAGTAAAAGTATCGACTGCTCTCGTTGAGATTTGAACTCAAGACCTCCCGCTTACTAAACGGGTGCTCTAACCAACTGAGCTACGAGAGCTTTTGTTAAAAATTGTTTTTAATTAATACTAATAGTAAGAAAAAAAGATAAGGTTTTGGGAATGAATAAGCTAATAAAGAGATAATGGTTATCCAACCAATGTTACATCAAATCATTTGTTCGGATAATTTATTAAACTATCTATATATTAAAATATATAAAAAAATTTAAAATATTCAATAAAAAAGCATAATTTTTGTGTAATAAAATATATTTAATAGAAGAAAATATTATTTACATATAATGTAAGCATCTCTTATAATTGTAATTGGAATCTAAAAGTGATGAAGTTAAAAATGGTGGAAATCAAGAAACAACTAATAGATAATATTAAATATCTTGTGATGTTCATCAATCAACTAAATAATTTTCTAATAAAAATGAAAGAAGCTGCAATCATGTAAGTGAGCATCAAATATTTCTCAAGAGAATTGGGTCTGAGACGTAGCTCACTTTGGTATGTCGGTTGGGAGCTAACATATCAACTAAGACGTATTTGGTTCAAATCTTATATATGTGAAGTGTATAAATTTATCTTAATTGACCTAAATGTCCAAAAAAAAAAGAGTCTGACGAACTTTTGGAGTCATTAGAAATATTTTTTAATGCTTTAAACTTTATTGCTTCTAACAAAATCCTTTGTGATTGTTTTGAGTAATGCAAAACCATTTTAAGAAATTTCACATTGCAAAGTCTACTAATGGAAATTGATGTTGACATCTATGGAGTAATAGTACCTTAAAAATTTTATATTTGTTGTAATTTTTTTAATGTTGAGAGTGATTTTAAATTCAACATTCAAATAGGAGAAAATTGATATGATCGATAAAATTTTATCAAATTGTGCATTAAAATTTAAGAGATTGTTTAGAGTTAGAATAAAAAATACTCAAATGATGATGTCATAAACTTAGAAAATTAATTCAATAACCTTATAGCTCCAATAATAATAAAATTGTAATAAAAATGATTAAACTCTTACCATATGATAAATTTCATATTATTCAAATTTATTTTATTATATCTTGGTCTCTTGGTCTTCTCTAATTAAGATATATATATATATATATATACAATTATAATTGTTGTGTCCCGAAATATTTGAGTCGGTAGAGAAACATAAAGTTTAACATCTTAGCTTTGTACGAATATCCAGTACGCAAACATATGAAAGAGATGGGTGTGGTATTCAAAAGAGACATAATAATTTTTATATGGAAATCCTTGAAAAGGGGGGAATTATGGTGTCTGGCCTAGTTCGAATGAATCCACTAGTGTTTGCAGTCGATTATAAATGAGGCCTTTCCTTGGGGTAAGGCCTTGGCTTGATGTAATAAATATAAATCATATAGAGTGCATTACATGATAGGAGTTGGAAGAATCCGTGTTAACATGTTCATTTGGTCGGTAGGAACATAGTTGGCGAGCAAAGTAAGTTGGAGGGACTATAGTCAGGCGGCGGTGGTCGGAAGGATTGTAGTTAAGCGACAGAGGTACGAAAGACTGTAGTCAAGTGATAGTGCCGAAAAAGACTGTAGTTTGTGGGCGGCAGAGTTTGGAAAGTTCATAGTCGGGTGATGTGGTGGTGGTTGTGCAAAAGTCCAATGATGGTAGGTGGACGGACATAAATCCAACGTCAGTTGATGGCCAGGTGGAAGTCCATAGACGATCGGTGGACATGCAAAACTCCAGTAACGGTCAGTGGCCGAGCATAAATCTGACATCAATTGGTGGTCAGGCAGTCTGGTGATAGCTAGTGGTCAAATTGAAGTTCGACAGTGATCAGTTGCAGGGAAAAACTTCAGTGACGGTTTGGTCACAGTTTGGTGGCAAGCGAACTCTTATCTTCCTTTCCTATTTTCCTTCTCTGCCTTGCTTCCTTCTCCACAATGAAAAATGATAGGTTTATTTATAGTTTTTTTGGGAGTGACATGGCCAGAAAATAGGAAGAAGATCAAGAGCATGTTAGGAGTGTTTTGAATGGACGACTGATATCAACTCCCTTGATCGTAGACCATTTATAGAGTATTTGAGTGTCTTAATGATATCAAAATTTGGCGATTTCAGGCTCATTGGATTTGTTTCGTCAAGCCGCTAGATTCGACTATAAACATGCCACATTTGGAAATCAGTTGGTCATCTAATTTATGATTCAAACATTCTAAATACGCTTTGGTTCTTGGATTTGGGCCCATTTGGGCTCATATTGGGTTGCATTTGGTGTCATTGCGTTCGACTTTTCAAGGCATTCAATTCGATTATAAGTTTGCTTAAATCGAAGTTTTGATGGTTCTATATTTAGTTTAGGAAGTTTTTAATTTGAAATTGTCTCCAGATTCGGGTTTGATCAATATAAAATTTTGGTGATATACAAAAATATTTTTTTAGAATTAAAAAATTTAAATATTATATATATAAATATAAATATTAAGATGTTAAATATATAAATTGATTATAATTTTTTTGATATATGTGGACAAATCCACCGTCTATTTTAGTCTGAATTTAAAAAACATACTCAATTTGTTTTTTTTTTTACTTCACCGTTTGCTGATCTGAGCAACTTTATCAGGCTTCATACACACCAAAAACTGCCAATGTCGAATCCAGCACAGAATCTCCCATCACTCTATTTTTTATATATATAAATATAAAAATTAAGATGTTAGATATATAAATTGATTATAATTTTTTTGATATATGTGGACAAATCCACCGTCTATTTTAGTTTGAATTTAAAAAACATACTCAATTTGTTTTTTTATTTTTTTATTTTTTACCGTTTGCTGATCTGAGCAACTTTATCAGGCTTCATACACACCAAAAACTGCCAATGTCGAATCCAGCACAGAATCTCCCATCACTCTATTTTTTTCTGGTACGGGCGGAGCCGGCAGTTCCTGCTCGAGAGCTCCTTCGAGAAGAAGAATGGCAATGGCCCTTGACGCCCATTTTCTCGTCATAACAGCTATAGTCACTGTACTCTTCTGGTTTTGTCGCTTCTCTCATGGTTTCTACGCTTCTACTCTCTTCACTGCATGAAATTGCTTAACAAAATCAGATTTTGCAGACTGGGTATCAGTTGCCTTTCTTCATAATCGCAGCTTATTTCAAGTTCGATAAAGTCATAGATTTTGCCGGTAAACTTGCGTTTTCACCTTATTTGTTATAATTTTAGTATGCGGATTAATGATTGTTCAACCTGGCAAGATTTCAAATTGGGTAGTTATTCAGGTTTTTAAACGGTTGTTAAGACTTTTTTTTCTTTCTTTTGTTGTTTTTAAACGGGTTTTAAGTAACCTGCGTAGAGCTGTTAGCTAAGAAAGGTGAAAGGTAAGAGGTAAAAGCAGAGAAGGTGAACAGAGGAATTTCGGTGCAAGCATTTTCTATCATCTATAACTGTACATTGTTTATATAAGCTTGAGATGATGAGGTAACTTTGCACGTGTATTAAGATGATGCAAAGGTTTGTTATAAACTAAGGGTTGTGATTTATTTTGGCTAAGTGGTAGCTACAGCGTTGTCAAAGTTGGATAACTCGAGAGCGATTAAAGGATTGAAGGCGTTGTTCTATGGTTGTCTAGATGGCAGATGTCGATTTGAGATGAAGAATGTAGGGTAAGACGGAGATTGTAATGGTGGAACATACAGCGGCCGCTAAGTTTTGGTCTGCAAGCACCCATTGAGTGTAGTGAGGGTTGGAGATGGTGGTACCGTCTGATTGTTGAGACAGGCGAGGAGATGTGGTGGTGGAGTCGAGGAAGCTGGTGAATCCATTAGCGCAAAGAAGCTTGAGGATCTGTGATCACCATATGGGGTAATTGTCATTAGACAAATTAGTGGGGACAATGTTCTTAATGTTTGAGATGACAAATTTGAGGGAGGAGGGTATGCTGGTGGTCTCTACAGAAATGGTGACAGATGGTTCACCTACTTGCGATGTAGCAAATTGTGCCATGAGAGAGGTTGAGAATCACGCACTCAGGTGGTCCTGGAAAAAAATCTGAACTACTGTAGCGTCCCAGGCAATTTACTGGGTCATATATTTGTATCCCTTTAATGGTTGAAACTAGAGCGCTTATACCAAGGCGCTTAGTTTCATATTACTTCTAAAACAATGGTTCACAGGCTATTCACCGTATTCTATAATAATGCTTTTGCAGGTACCACAAACTTCGTTACACTTGCAATAATGACTCTACTTCTGAAAGGAACATGGCATTTCAGACAGGCAAGACTTATTCCTCTTTTTTGTTCTTATCTCAACTATTTATAGTAATAGTATTCGACTCTTATTGCAATGCATCTTGGTTTATTTTCCTTCTAAAGCATGAACTTATATAGTTAAGAAGGTTATCTATCTACACTCGAATAAAGACTTCATAGCTTTTCACAAAATATAATCATATTATAAAGATCAAATTTGTGTTCATTTTCATGTGGTCTACGTTGTGCCAAAACTATTTATGTTATCTTTTCCCTCCACTGATTCTTAATTAAAGGCATATTAAGAGTTATATTTATTCATTTATGCAAACTCAGTGTAAGGTTAAAATTATATACAGTGAATCTCTTTTCTTCCTCTCTTTTTTTTTTCTACTTTTTCATGGGATATCATACTCTAGATCACAGTTCTTCAATTCCTTATGTGCCCTCATGGAAAAATTATTTTTGTGCTGATCAGTACGGAGTCCGGAGACTAACAAGAACGCATCACATTACTTTTTTGCTCAATACCGTTATGTATTAGGTGATGTGACGCATTCTACTTAGTCTTTAGACCATCCGGTGTCCGCACAGAATAATTTCTCCTCGGGCCCCCCTTAGATCCGCCAATAGCAGTCATCACTAAATTTATTTCTTACTTTTTCAAAATGAAAGATAAATAGCGCCAAATAAGACTAGAAAAGTTCACCCGAACGGTGTTGCTGTGCCTATAAATAGAATTGTGAGCCATGTGACCCCTATGTTAACTGAATCAAATGCCTTATATGTGTGCGCAGTAGTGTTCTAAAGGAGATGTTAAATGAATTAGCCTGTCCATGAAACAGACAACCATGTCGCTCTCTGTTTGTTTCATCTTGAAGATGCTTCCTGTTCTTTCCAGGATTACTCTGAACAGAAAGAGACACCCTTCTAATCAGCTTATAATTACTGATCCTTTCTTTTTTTCAGATTGTCCTGACAATGTTTGTGTTAATCTGGGGTCTTCGCTTAGGCACATTTCTGTTGTTGAGGTAACAATTATGAACCTTCAAAATAATATTACTTGTATGATGTGCTCAATAGAATTTTTCTGACCAAGCATGATTTACATTCTATTTACAAAATCTGAGAATGTGCTTTGACTTGTACCCAGAAACTTCCTTATTTCTCCAAATCTGTTGTTTGATTGCTTTTAGAGCTCTTTTTCAGGTGACATTGAACTTGATAGTTACACATCTGATTTCACTGTGTTTTATGAAACCATATAAACATTTTAACAGGATCCTGCAATGGGGCGAAGACCGCCGTTTTGATAAAATACGCGACAATCCAACAAGTTTGGCTGGTCTCTGGACCTTACAGGTAATCTTTCATAAGACCTCGCTATCCCTTTTCGTTTATTTTCCATGAGTCTGTTCAATTTCATATAAATAATCCCATGAGGCCAATGGAATACTAAGGCTTCGTTTGGGATGGCTTTCTTACTACATCGTAAAGCGGTTTTCTAGTAAAAAAAATTAATATTTATACTAAAAAGCTGCTCCGAAACAAAGCCTAAAACTCTTCATATTGTTTGATATAGTGTATATGGATATGGACCGTATGCTTGCCTGTCACAATAGTGAATGCCACTGAAAGAGATCCATCGCTAAAACCTCAAGATATAATCGGTTGGATGATGTGGCTTGTGGGCATAACTATTGAAGCAATTGCTGATCAGCAGAAGCTTATGTTCATAAAGTCTCCATCTAATAAAGGGAAATGGTGCAACATAGGAACCTGGAAATATTCTCGTCATCCAAATTACTTTGGTGAGGTCAGTTTATTTTCTTGATCTTATATAGAAGCTTCTCTAAATTTGATTTGTCTTTCTATGCGGTCCTCTATATACCTTCTTTTTGGTGCAAATAGATTCTTCTTTGGTGGGGAATATTTATAGCTTCTATCCCTGTTCTGGAAGGTGGTGAATGGCTTGTAATATTTAGTCCTATTTTTACGACATTGCTACTTTCTCTAGTCACTGGGATATCCATCCTTGAGGTTTGGATTCCTAATTATACCCATTTTCATGAGTGAGCTTTCTCCAGTATTTTCTGTAGCATTAATCCTATTCCTATTTGTTTCAACCATCTATGCAGGAATCAGCAGATAAGCGTTTCGGTGCTCTAAAGGAGTACATAGTCTACAAATCTACAACTAGGTATGCATTCAACCCATTTCAGATTTCACCATTATTTAGGATTCATTTGGGACAGCTTTTTTATTGCTTCTTAAAACGACTTTTTAGTTTAAAAAAAAAATTATATACTAGAAAGCCGCTTTAAGAAGCAGTAAAAAAGCCGTCCCAAATGAAACCTTAGGCTTTATTTGTACTGAAAAGCTGCTTTAAGAAGCAGTAAAAAAATTGTTCTAAATGAAGCCTTAGTGTTACTGTAAAACTAGACGGGACTTTCTTATATACATACATATATTTAAATTGTTATTGTGTTGCAGCCCTCTTATTCCATTGCCACCAGCTGTATATGGGAGCTTGCCTTCATGGTTAAGGGTAACATTTCTTTTTGAGTTTCCTCTCTACAGTCGAGGGCTTCACAATCAAGCTTGAGTAAAGTAACTGAAAGAACCCAATAAAAAAACTAGTCTGTGCTGCATTGATGCTTCGTTTGTGTACCCTTTTATGTTATAAGACATCAAATGGTTTCTTGTGAATTTGTAGTACAAACATCTGGACCTTATATTTTACCCCTGCTTCACTAACTATAAACTCCTATTCTAAGCTTAAAAAACCAAGTAAAGGTTTTGGGAACTTCTTTTTTAGTTCTCCTTATGCTATTTTTTAAATGAGATCATCTATGATTATGATTTCTTATTTGGATTTCATTTAGTGCACAGATCAATTGCTAAAACAGTATACTGAGAATTTATAAGCATATGAGTTTATGATAGTTACTGATGATTTAGACAGCCTAAAAAATAATATGATTATTTGCACAGAAATTTTGATGGTTGCTCAAGTCTGATGAAAATATAAATGCTTTGCCTGTAAATGAAAGTATTATTTTTTAACATTAAAATCATTAGATTTATTGAATGTTAAATATTTGAACTATTTATTTTCACACCACTTAAATCTTTCTATTTATTTGAAATCACTGTGAACCAATATTGGTTCTCAAAATATCCAAATATCTAATCAACACTCCAAGAATCACTTCCAACAACTCACAGTTTCACTTTAAACGACAGCCTATATAGCTGAAAAAATATTATTGTTACCATCTAAACTAATCACAATTAATAGCTGGCTACCTAGCAGTTCCTATAAGAAGCATCCATCAAAACCACTATTGCCTTATAACTTACGAGGAAACCATTCTTGTTTGCTTTGAAACAAATGCACATCCTCATAAGCATCTTTCACCTTCCAAATCTATGTCCCTTGTTTGAACATATATAGTAAATTCGTCCTAACAATTTCCAAGCAATAGTTTCAAATCTTCATGAATTCTTCATCATCTTTCATATGCACCATCTTTCAAACCTTGTTTACATTACAGCCTTCCTACCTCATGATATCGATACTTTAATTTAAGTGTTATCTACTATTCCTATTTTTAGGGTTTGGCACTAGTTATCGATTAATTATATGTAGGGTTACTTATTCTTACAAGATGTAAATGTCATAATTATTCTTATGACATTTTTTGACGATTAGTTTATGGATGTTTATTGTTATCTAGAGTCGTAACTTACAATTTTCTATTTTCAAATGACTTATTGGCAGGTCTAATTCTTTCTTATGATAAAAATATATACTATACAAATATTAAAACTCCATACTTTTCGACAAGGTTTAAGTGTGAGTTTGTAATTACTTGGAATGATCTTGTATCATATCAAGTAATCAAGAGATGAGAAGTCTATTAGTAAATGATCTAAGAGACATATTTTGACATCTATAATTGAATTTTTTTTAATCCAATTTCAATATTATGTGTTCAAATTGGATATGTGATTTCTTTGAAAGTCACCTACATATATTAGCTTGAGGTTTGGATTTTTTACTTTGATTAATTTTTTTCTTAAATTAATGTTTTGTGCATATTTTATTTCACTTGTTAATGTTCATGATTTTACTGAATTTGACATAACTAGGAATTAATTGTAGTTTTTAAATTATTATTATTCCTTAATTTTTCATTATTCAAATTATTTGTTAATTTCTTTGAATTTATTCAACCCTTAAATTATTGTTTGAGTTCTAATGCTAGTGCTTAATATTTTGCATTGAACAAAAATAAAATTTTGACATATTATGTAAAGTGTGATTAACAAATTTTGAACTATTTATATACATCATATTGTTTCAATTATATTAGGAAAACTTAACCCTAAACCACCCTATACCACTCAACATCAGGGCCAATTAGCATATCACAATAAGATGAGATTCTAATATATACCTTCCAAAACTATTTAAAAGAATCGTTAGCAAATATAATCTACATCGCCCGTAACAAATATAATATATTTAACCTAATGAATAATTCATTTACAATACCATTAAGAGACAAGAAATACACCATGAAAATAATCAAGATAAACACCTAGTCTCATAGCAATATACCAATGAACATTATGATAATCATAAACAACAACCTTATGACATGATGAAGATATAAATAGGAAAGTTTAACATATTGCTTCTAGTATTGATGAAAGAATATATCTTATGGCATGTTCTAACTTGTTAATGAGCGAATTCTGACATGAATGAATATATATGGGAACATTTCTCTTCTTGGTGCCATTTACATCATTCCCTCAACCTTGAGGCAATGTTTGTTTTCAAAGAACAAGGATTGTTATGAAGCAACCACTATTACTGAATTAAACACAAGTGTAAGAACAAAATGTTAAATGGATTGTAGATTCATATATTGACAAAGAAAAGGAAGAAGCAAGGATCACCTCAAACAAAGTGGATTTCTGATGCTTAAGAAGGAATAAGCAAGAATAATGAGGGTTAAAGGGCTGTCACCCATTCACCCTTAACAGTTGATTAAATTGCAATAGCCCAATTGCACTTTAAAAGGCTACTTCAGTAGCCAGGTAGTTAAGAAAATACTAATATGAAGATTAAAAAATATTATTCTTTTTTTATTGTTTCAATTATAAATAATAGGGAAGCTGTTACGAATGTTAGCTACAGACCTGCAAATTAGGGCATAATCTTCATGTAATAAAGATGACAGGTAAACTATTTCACTTTTTTCTTGCTTGTTTGGAGTTTGTATGTACTCGAAAAAGACTTTCCTTATGTATTTTAGTTGGTGCAATACTCAAAACGTATCACCCTATGGTTTGTGATAGTTTATCATTGACATTATTTTCTTTCGGATGGTGCAATGGGAAGGCTTGGTCTCCTACTAATTCAATTTGGGTAGGTATAAATCAATCTTTCTTAATCATATGTCTGATATTTTGCTTTTTTTTATGAAGAAATATTATCTTTAGCTAAGTCTTTTGTATTTTTCTTTATTGGTAAATTCTCTTTAGTTCTCCTTGATTGGGTGAGATTCGAATGAAAGTCATTTCATGTTTCTCGGGTCTATTATCTCTTTTGATCTATTATATAAAAAATTTCAATGAGAATTAAAGCATCTCTGTCTTCAATGAGTACTATTGCCCTAGTGTGTTTTGAGCCTCACCTCAAAATCCATTTAGCAAACTTTTATACTTTGATGTTGCTTGCTTCTACAACCTGTAGTAATCCCTTCTAGAATTCCAAAATGAATGCTTCTTTCGCTCAACCTTCTATGGCTTATCTTTGAGTACAGATGGACACACCAAATAAGATTTTTATTGAGATTTGAATTCATACTAAGACAAATGGCTACATACAATATATCATCTTTACAATTTTACCTCTATGCTTCTACCATAGAACTTCAGGAGATTAAGCCTTTTCTTTTTACCACTCAGCCATAATTTAAGAATAATTTAAAAACCCATCCTATGATCAATCTTGTTGTTGATAATTGGGCAAAGACAAACATTTGTTGTTGATACAATGGCCTAGTTGGTTCATATTCCCCACTTGGTGGTTGTCTTGGTTGTGAGTTGCTTACTGAAAGATTCAATTAGGCCTTTGCTGATATTATTATCTAAAAAAGGCATGCAAAGGGTAACATTCATACTATTTTTAATGTTACCACAATTGTGTTCCTTGGGATTCTTGACTAGATAGTTTGCATGACTGTAATTGATTTCATAATCATTTTTAACATGCATATATAAGTCTTAGTAATAATTTTCTTTTATATAATTTAAATTTTGTTTGGGACAACTTTAGACCACTGTTTTTTTCTTGCTTTTAATAAATTTTTGTACTAAAAAGTAGCTTTACAAAGCAATGAGAAAGACATCCCAAACGAAGCCTTAGTAATGACCACCACCAACAACGACAAAAACATCAAACATTTATCCCACTATGGGTCGACTACATGAATTATTGTTTTCTATTATGTCATATTAAATGTTAAATTCTCATTTAAATCTAATAAAAAAAATCAATTCTAATACTTTCTATAATACAAGTACTCTCCTAATCGAGTCATCAAAAGGCCGACATATTATATGACCATTTTTTTCTTTTATGTGACTGAATTTAGTAATTTAGTAATGATCAATGCCACATATGATTTTACATATCATAAAATCAATAAGAATATTTAAACAAACTTTTAACTCTAATAAATAAAAACTCATAGTACTAAATAACTAGATATTCTTATATATTCCATATATGTACATGCACTTATTGCATGTACATTATTATTAATATAAAAAGGCAAACAAGCTAATATGATTTCAGCCATGCCAACATTTGACAATGGTTATCAGCAGCTCTGCAGGCTTTTGCCAAGTCATGCAGTTTCAAGGGCATGAAGCGCTTTACTTCGTTGAATAAATAATGGCAGCAGCTAAGAGCAATGGAGGTACCCATGAAACTGCCGGCGACAATGCTACAGGTGCAGCTCCATAAGCTTCCATCATGCCAGAAACAAGCTGCATGGAACCAAGTGCACATTATAATGATAGTATTGTTGCCAAAAAACAATCATGTTAGAAGCTAATCTACCTTAAAATGCAAGCAGGCAATGACTGCACTAGCAAACAGAAGAGCCTTTCTTAGCCAACCAGCACATATCTTACATCCGAATGATCTAGTTGTGCAATTGTAGGACTGAATAAATGTTCTATAATTTCCTGTATCAAAATGCATCTGGATGTCGGAACACTTTGTGTTCTTACTTGAATAAAAGCAAGCAGCAGATCTTTCTGCAGAGAAGCTGTAAATTAGAAGAAACAAAGGTGTGACAATAAAATACATGAAAGGCAATGTGATTGTCATTAAGTCAGGAAATCCTAGCCATTCGCTTGTAGTTGTGCCACTTGAAGACTGTATTCTCCAACCAGACAAGCATAATTTGAAAATATTTCCCTTCTCTGACGTTGCATGACCCCAAAACCATGGCATTGTGAGTAAATAAATAAGGTAAATTACCATGGCATACCATAGCGTTTTAACTCTTGAACCCTCTATCAAGAACCAGAATAATCTGAAGACAAATTTTCTCTGGACGATGGAAGAGGAAATGGACACTGACACAGCCCACTTCTGATATGATGAGTTTCTTTCCATGAGTAGATTCACAATTTTTGGAAAGCATAGAAGCAGTATAAGAAAGGAAATGTTGCTCCATTGGAGTACATGGAAAACTTCCTCCCATTGCAAATCAAAAACCAAAAAAGCCAACCATGACGGGGAAAATTTTGCTGTTTTACCTTCAACTGAAAATGGTCTCAGTATGCTTGCTGTTTGTTTGCCCTGAGAATCTATCACAAGTAAATGCAACCAATAACGAGTCGCAGAAGCACTAATGTAGTTTTCAGCATTCCATTTGGCATGATAGAGAGGCTTGCCTTTGGAAGAATCAGTAGCAGGCTGCAATGGTATCTCTTCCACCATCTTGAAATCTCTTGATGAGTCCAAAATATTTGCAGTCACATTGAGGATTGGTTGAACTGAGAAGACTAGAGCATTGATATCATTTCTTACTTGCTGGGTATGGTCCTTAACTCTACTCATGCTTCTTGAATCCATAGGATAAGTAACGAGGATAGCAGTCTTGAAGTCACTAGGCGGCTCATTTGTACTAGAAAGTTTGATATCCATAAAAGAAACATCCCCTCGATCAATGGCAAGAATTCTGATAAACCTAAACTCCTTCCAATCCCCAAGTTCCCATTCCCAAAATTGCTCAACTGTTTTAGGCTTATTAACATGAGATAGTACTTCAGATGTATGCAGCCTCCATAGCTGTTTTCCAAACTTTGAATGAAGGTGGCCACAAATGTATGCAGAGACAGAATGCCTTGCAAAAACAGGTTCATACCTCTCTCCTTTTTCAGCTGAAGCTGTGAAAGACATTGGGAAATGGCCAAACACAACTTTTGTAAAAAGAACACCAGAATTATTGTCCGAGTGCTGAAGTTCTGCTTCAACAGCACGAATCCTGTTACCAGTTGGATGGCCGAATAAATTTGATGGTCCACGAACCCCAATTCTCATTGTGTCATCTATACCCAAAAATATATACCTTTGATCATCTCCCTAGAAAACCTTTAAGAACAGATCAGCTCAAATTTTGCAAGGAGCAGAGGGGCATGCAACTTTTATAACAAGTAATTTCTTAGAATCAAATGATCGAAAGGAAAAGTTTTTATATTGAGAAACCAAGAATCAAAATAAAATCAATATCAATATGACCATCTACTATAGGGACAATATCAATAAATAATTCATCAAAAGTTATAATTTCAAATTACTTATTTGATTCATCAACAAGATCATATATGATTAGTTCAATTTCACATTTACATATACTTTAAGTGCCTAGTAGAAATTCAAGTTCATATATGATATCTTGCATAATCTTAATTTCAGATTCAAATTTATACTCTTGGTTGATTATAGATTCAGGTTAATGAACATGATATATTATAAAAGATGATTCAATTTTCAAAGTCATCCGGCATGGATTCATATTATAACCGTAAAACATATTATTCATATGATATGTCCTGAAAAGAATATCTATAATATAAACTATTATTTTCTTAAATTGGATCAACTTTAACTACATGATTCTTATATTAGTATATTTTTCATAAACTTTAAATAAGATGTTACTCAGTTTTTTTAAGGAATTAATGTAGGCGCATGGTGCAGTAAACCCAATAGAATGCTTGTAATATGCCTCAAAACACAAAGATCTTGATAAGACTTCAGATAATATTTTTCAATAAACTCTAGCTTAGTGCATTGCTCAACGATCGCCTAAGACTTTTAATGAAGTAAATAGTAGGAACAAAACAATCTAAAGCAAATCATGTCCAGCTATAAGATGTGTAAATCTTGCCTAATACTCAAACAAGTTAAAATCTTTTTGTTTACAACTCTAAAATTGGCTATGCATTCATCCCAATATTCAACAAATAGTAGATATTTTTCTTTAAGCATATGTTTCATGTTGGACCATATTGATTTTATTCCACTTAGAAATATTTCGTTAAAACATTCATCCCAATATTCAACAAATGATAGATATTTTTTTAAGCATGTGTTTCATGCTACAACTTGTTGATTTGTTCCACTCAAAACATTTTCTCAAAATGATTCAGCATGTCTTACTAATTTTGTTTCATCAGCATATGACTAGAAATCAAATAAATGATAATGTGCAAAGAAATCTTTCAAATCACTGATCTATCCTGAAAATTTCTAAAGATCGTACTCAAATCGAATATAGAAATGTAGTTTCTAACCTCATGATAAGTATGATGTGTTTTTCTAAAACCATAACTTGAAACTCTCTAATTGCATAATTGATTGATTTTTTATTGTCCAAATTAATGTCCTACATTTAGTTGATATAATGATGCCAAGTTCGTATACAAATTTAATGTAGCATGACTACGGTTACAATTTTCTAACGAAACTAATATAATGTGTATTATTCTTTCACGTTAAAAAAAATTAAGGATTCACATGTCACAAGATACTAATAAATCCAATAATTAATTTTTTTTATAAATAAAAATAGACAATAGTAATATTCTAGCTCAACTGATAATGAAATGATCTTAAATACACGATAGATAGAAATTGAATAATATAAATTGAATAAATTGACGAGCAAACAAATTAATTTTCCTAAAATTAGATTTTCAGTGCATAACTTTTTGACCAAAATCAAGAGTAATAAATTAAACTAATAAATTATGTAGAAGAATTAGACAAAAAAATAATATTATCAAAGTAATGAAAATCAGACCTCACGTCAATAGTAAGGAGATGACTTGCCTTGGAATAAGGTAGTCATACTTATAATATACTCTAATGAATCATACATCCAACTTGCACTCACAACATTGAAAATTGGAAGATAAATTTTATTCAAGCTAAAAGTTGTGAATTAAATGCTACATACCATTATTTATAAAATCCTCAACCTAGGTTAATATATAAGATTGATACATGATAAATCTACATCTAAATTTAAATTGATCCAAAGTTAAATTTAAATTCTTAAAAAAAATACCTAATTTACTCTTCAATTTAAAAAAAAAAAAATAGCTGATTACTCTTCAATTTAATTTAAAATCTTTAACTCAGCAAAACTGCAACCATTCATGCAAATCCTCCATTCACATTAATCTCGTAGCCATAAGATAAAGCAGCAACATTACCCATCACTAATGCCACACAAAAAGTGCCCACGAGTTAGCCCAAAAGGATCCAAAACATAACAAATACTGCATCCAACAAATACGGGATTCGAACTCCAAAACTCATGAGTTTTTTTAAGTAATCCCAAAATCATTGCTCAGCAATAGCAATCTCACATCAAATGTGATTTTAATAAGCCTGATTTTACATTAATTTGAACTTGAATTTACAAAACATATGCGTTATGCAAAAATCTATATTTTCCGTTCTGAACTTCGAAAATTTTATAATGCAAATGCATTTGCATACTCATAAATTAAGGTATTGTAGAGAGGTAAAACAATACAAACATGCAAATACCAATCTCTACGCAATATGGCACCAATCCCACCCATGCGGTTGGGAAGGATGGACAGGTCGGCAAGCCAACCATCCCATTCTTCCCCTCTCCCATCCTCTCACTCCAGACTAAAACACAACCTTCATATAGCAGGAAGAAGTGGTTGGTTGATAAACTGTCATCCCAATCTCTAGGGTTTCAACAAAGCAGTATTGAGCTTAGGAGTGCAGGTGGGAGGATTTAGGTTGTTGACCAATAAACCCACTCTCTTTGTTCCCTCTTTCACTGTCATACTCTGCTTCCCCTCATTTTTCTACCCAGAAAATTATAGAATAGCTAACTAATACATCGTGGAAGCTATAATAGCAAGTAAAAGAGAAGAAAAACGTAGGAACACCAAGATAGGGCTGATTTTTGGATTGATTCTTCAATAATAAAGCAAGATACAATTGATCTACTATTCGAGAGGTAGATTAACTCTCCCAAAAATCCTAAACGCCGACAGGAACTCACAACACAGTAGGAAAATAAAACTCAACAATAGCATAATCCTAACCTTAGTCAAAACTCCTTAAATAGTCCTAACCACAATAACATAAATAGAATCTTCATAAACAATTAAACATGATTTTAGGAACTCATCCTAAATAATTAAACATAATTTAGGAAACATTCCTAAACAATTAAACATGATTTAGAACAAATTCCTAAACAATTAAACATGATTTAAGAAATCTTCCTAAACAATTAGAACATTCCTAAGCAACATAAAAATCTTCCTAAATATTTCTTTTCCGTACATAATGAATATTAACTTCCCTAGGCCCCACAAGAGTGGCCGAAATCCCCTTGACCCTCCCCCGATTTCGCCCAACCCTGGGCTAGTTCGGCTCCTGCTAGACCAACCTGCTAGGTTAGTCCAGACCACCATCTGCTCATGATGTTCCTGCATCTATCGTATCACTAACACTAATTCAGCTTTGAAATTACCTTGTTATCTCACATTTAATAAGTTACAGACGCTTGTTAATTGAATCATTACAGAAGGAATCTAGCTACACTTTATCATAAGCATGACTCAGCTAGTTGGGTGGATATAAAATTATATAGGATGCCCTGCACTAACAACAATAACAACAACATCAAGTCTTTATCCCACTACGTGGGGTTGGCTACATGAATCATTTTCCTCCATTGCATCCTATTAAAAGTCAAATGCTCATTTAAATCTAATAAAGAAAGGTCATTCCTAATACTTTCTAACCAAGTCTTTTTAGGTCTGCATCTACCTTTCTTAATATAAGTCAAATCTAATACCTCTACTCTCCTAACCAGGTCATCGGAAGGCCGCCGTTTTATGTGATCAAATCATCTAAGGCGACTCTCTCTAATCTTATCTTTCTATTGAAGCTAACTCCAACCTTTTCACATATATGCTCATTTCGCATCCTATCTCTAAGGGTAAAGCCACTCATCCACCTGAGCATCCTCATCTCTGCCACACTTAACTTAGTATTATGCTTCTCTTTTAATGGCCAACATTCGACACCATAAAGCATTGCAGGCCTCACCACCATCTTATAGAATTTCCCTTAAGTTGACGGTACTTTTTATCACACAACAAGCCTGATGCATTCCTCACTTCAACCATTTAATTGAATTCTGTTATAATATCCCCATCTATTTCACCATCACTCTGAACAATAGATCCAAGATATCTAAAATGTATACTCTTATTAATGACTTGATCGCCCAAAGTCACAAACCCCTCACTAGGTCTATTAACTACTAAATATACACTCCATATATTCCGTTTTAGATCTACTCAAGCGAAAACCTTTAGACTCTAAAGTTGACCTCCATAATTCAAGTTTACCTTCAACTCCCTCTCTAGTCTTATGAACAAGAAGAATATCATCAGCAAAAAGCATACACCAAGGTACATCCTCTTGCAAATGTCTAGTGAGAACATCCATGACTAAAGCAAAAAGATACGAGCTTAAGGCTGATGCCCTATTTGCACCATTTATCAAAAATCATAAACATTACCAAAAAATTTAAATATTCGAATAAGATAACATTCTTGGAAAGATTTTACATTTGTACTTAATACCAACATAAATTGATCAATTATATTCTTAAATATATGCAGGCATTTCGGAATAAGGACATTTTGAATAGTCTTGTACCCCAATAATCCTCAAAATGTCTGATAAGCACTTGTCACAATAACTACATGAGTAATTCTATTAGTCGATGATTCAAAAAGGAAGGAAAATCCATCTCACAAGCAAGAAGCTAAGTAATGATTCAAGAAAGCATCCTCAAGCAGCAAGAATGCAAGCTGGATAAATGAGCATGCAATGATCAAAATGTTGCCTTCACTGCCCAAACAGCTATTCAAGCAGCATAAATTTAGAATGAAAAAAAAGGCATGCATTTGCAGCTGTTTGACTGAATTGAAGCATACAAACCTAGCAATTATCCTGTGAGGAAAAATTAAAAGAACTTACCACAAGGGATACACTCTGAATCGTGCCAAGCCTTTTGAATTGTGAGCTGACACTATAAATTGAGAAGAAATCAAGTGCACTTCCAACATAAGGAACCCCATATTTGTCATGATTTCCTCGTATATCAAATATTCTTCTCCTTTCTAAACCACTTTGCTTAACCAAAGTATCCATTGCGTTTCTGTATTGAATCCACTCCAATTCATCCTGCCTCGTGCTTGTTCTTTTACTGTTTTTCGCATCTGAGTTCATTTATAGGTTTATGAACAACTCTTTCCAGAAAGCAATATTGCGAGTAACGTTTAAACATAGAAAGCCGCTTAAAAGAATGTGAATTTTCTATACATAAACTAAATCAAAATCCAAAGAAGACCACGAAATGGAGAATGGGAATGATAAAGATATTACATTTCTCTTTCAATGCTAGAAAAGACGAGTGAAACATAAGAAATAAATAATAAGCCAAAATGCATAAGGCATAGCAATTAATTCATTGACCACAATGCATTCAATTTTTCAATCGCTATCTAGTCAACCAAACAAAGCATGCATGCTAACTAATTTAGAACAAGCTGCTAGAGATTAAACAAAGATAATAAGAAATAATTTTCCACCTTTCCGAAGTGAGGTTGAAGCCACTTTTTATCTTTAAGAAAGGTATATTCCAGATAAGCTAGCTGCAACTATCTCATGTTGAAAACTGTTTTTTGTACAAGAAATAGATGACAATTTACCGTGCATGCAATTGATAACTATCCACCTATTGTTATGCAATGAGAAAATATTGAGTTTAATCTCAAATCAAATAGTTCAAAAATAACTAAGTGTAAAAATATCAAGTGATTGACCCTCACTCATTTTTAGCCATTTGGATTAAAAAAGGATTCGGTCACCAATGTATTTGGCCAACCTTTGTTTCTTCTTTGGTGCATACTCCATAAAAAGTGGACATCAAAGCTGATGGTCGGGCTCGAATCAAATAGTTCATGCAATTTGTATTTTTCATGGGTCTTGGATGTTTTCTATCATGGTTGACAGAAGTTCAAGTGTGGGGAACTTCCATGACAACTCCATATGGTTGAGGGAGTTTTTGCTATGATACTTGATAAAATTAAAAATTTTCCTTTTGAAGAGCTATGATGGATGTAGAGAGTTATCACAAGATGCAAAAAAAATTGAAATTATATAAATATCAAGTGATTGACCCTCACCCAATGGCTTAAGCTTTTGGGTAAAAATGAGTTTGAATTCTAGTGCACCTCACCAAAAATTGGCCTTCTTTTAATTTGCACTCCATAGCATTATTGAAAAGGGCTTGACACTCTATAAAACCCGAAATCGTTGATAGTAAGCGTTGCACACATCTCGATGCATCATGACGAAATTTAAGTGAAATTTCAAAATCATCGGATTTCGACGAAATTAATTTTATAAAATTCTACGCAAAATTTCTAACAAATTTGTATAAAGAACCTATAGTGAATTTCGCTTAATTTGGTAGTTAAAAATCATAGAAGTTTTATTATATCTAAAGTACCCTTAATGATATTAAAACAAAAAATAAGGCGTGTAAGGGCATTTAGGTGCTTTCGATTTTTCATAACCATCCAAGCTATAAGGGATCGGTCCCTCTTCAATTGTTTTGTTCGGCCAAAACCCAACGAGCGGATGGAGGGAGAGGGTGGACGGGAGGTTTCGGGCATGGCTCCGGTGGCGGGATTTGATGGAAAACGTAGAGGAGGCTAATGAAAGACTAATGTATGTTTTAAGTTAAGAAATTATTCTCTTTTCCATAGATTTTTGGAAGAGAAATTTTTAGGGTTTTGCAAAAAACTTCAAATTTCTTTGGGAAATTGATAGAGAAGATCGATGGATAATTTTTAAACCTAAAAATAAAGTTTTCCCCAAAACTTTTTAGATTGGAAAGTAAGGGTTTTCATAATTTGTGAATTTTAAGAAAAACATTTTACGATTTTTGTTTCATATGATATTAGGAATGTTTTAATGGTGGAAAATTAGGGTTTTAGCAAAAATTTTACTTTTATAATTTTTTTATTAAAATAATCCCAAATTTAAGTTAACCTAATTATTAATTAGGTTTAGGAGGGAGTTCGGCATGATTATTAGATGAAATTAATGAATTTTAGGTTTCCTAAAAAATTACTTTTTAATAAATCCGAAAATATAATTTAATTAAAGTGATTATTGAAAATATTCTATGATCAATGCTTAGTATGATTGTATTTATATTTATCCTTAGGTGTCGATTAAGGGGGCGCCTCGAGCATTAGTGGCGTCGTTTAAGTTTACGGTACTTGTGAAGTAGGTGCTTGTATTTAAAGTAAATTTCATGTTTCTAAATTTTTTTCTTTTATGTTAAATTTTTTATTTGTATGTAAATTTCACATGTTAAAATTATCTGCATTTTTAGTATTCAAGAATTGTTAAATTTTTGTACTTATGTTTATCGTTACATTAAGTGTTAAATCTTTAAGGTTAAATATGATGGCATATTTTTTTAATTGAAATTTAGGTAGACATGAGAATATTTGAGCATGAAACAGTTTAGGCAACATATAAGAATTTTTTAATGACTTAATCCCCATGATATATATATTATGATTGCATGTGCATTATGATCCGGAGTACCAAATGGTAAAGAGGCTCTTCAGAGCCAATTGTAAAGGAACTCTTTAGAGTCAATAGTAAAGGGGCTCTTCGGAGCAAATGATAAAGTAATGACAAAAAATTTGACTATGTACCTGATCAGTACAAAACACTGCTACTTCCGGGACATGTGTATTATATTATGATTAAACATTTTATGCATTTAAAGAAAGGTTATGATGAAAGGAAAAGTTTATGAAGAATGAAAAAGCTTAAGAAAAAAGTTAAATAAAATTGAGTATGAAAAGGTTATACAGTATATGCATTTTAAATGTCACGTATGATTTACGTCATGTTTTATTATTTCATGAATTTATGATAAATATCTGTTACCTGCTGAGCGTTAGCTCACCCTATTTGTGGGAATGTATTTCAGAAGAAACTGCTAGAGAGTGATGGCTGAAAGATCATTTACCTATCATCGTAGAGGATCCCAGGATGTCAGGTTTTTATGTTCATGTTATGTAATGTGATGGTTGTTGTATCGTGGACTACTGTAATGTTTTCAATCTACTTTATTTGTACAAAAAGCCAACTGAATTTACCTTTTCAACAATATCACCATTCCATACCATATATAGCCAATGTAATTTGAATTTTTTAAACATCATTTAACAATGGGAAAAAAGATCAAAATTGTCTTTTAACTCTTTATGAAAGACCAAAATAATCCCCAATTATATTAAAGGACTATTTTGGTCCCTCAAAATAATTCAAAATAATCCCCAATTGCACTTTTATTTCTCATGTGTGCTTGAGTCTTCCTCAAATTGACCCAATCAAGTTAGATGTCAGAGTTGATCATAAAAGATTCTACAGTCATCCATTGACCAACTCCATATAGCACTGGAGGTCACAAGAAGCATGCTTCAATGCTTATATCACATATTTTTTGGGTAGGTAAAATCATGGTATCTATTAGGTGGTTATAATGGATTCAATGGGAAGGTTGCGCTAGCTATTTGGTGGTTATAACTACATCCCCATTGGTACGGTTGTGGCCGTATAACAATAGTTGTTTATGATTAGGAGGATGATTCGATGATCAAAGAGAGAGTGGCATCAATGGTCTTCAATATAGCCTATCAATAAACACCCATTATATAGCAGACAAGGAACAAATCTACGGGCTCGAAATCCTCTGAGCTAATCGTGGTTATAAACCTATTTGAATAGGTAATTACCCTGCTCATATGTTTTTTAAGTGTTGGGTTATCTTCCAATACATCCAATGTGCAACATCTGTCCCTTCTCCACCACTCTTGTAGTTTCTCTACCCTTCGTTCCTAAGCTCTAATTCAAAAGTTAACAATTCAATTTATCTCTTTCTACCCTTCTACACTTTTCTTATTCTTGGTTTTGATCATTTATGAATTTCAAATAATCTATAAGCTAATATGAACTAGAACAAGTTCCAACAACTTCCACATAAATTAGGAATAGTCCAAGAATTTGGAAACGTGATTTTGCTTATTTTGATTACTCTATTTGTAGCTATGTGGGAAACTAACAAATTGGTTTCAATTAGACTAGTGCAATCTAAAAGTTACACAATTATTTTGACAGGAGGTCATAAGATGTCTATTATCTTAAAGTTGATATCATAACAAAGCTATGATTTTTGAATTGGACATCAAATCATAATCATGTAAATGTAATTGAAGTTCAACTTCAACAAAGATTCACATCCTATAAAGATAAACTTAGCAACTTCGGCAATATTCACATTCGATAACAATAAACTTAAGTTCAGAAAAGTGTTTCCATGAGATGAGCTATTCTCCACAGCTCTGATAAGGGGATTTTGCCAAGTTTAGTCAACGCTCATCAATTAAACAAGCTATTATGGAGGCATCATGCATTTAAATTCCAAAGTGTTAAATAATTAAATGTTATTTGAATTAATTTAATATGAATATACTTGAAATTTTGCATATATTTTATATAGATCCTTGAAAAGGGAATAAATATTTCTTTCATTATTGTTTGTGATAATAGGTTGATCGACAACCTTGATTAAATATTATCCTTCTAAATCAAAGGTTCCAATCATATAAATAATTGTTTTTCCTATACAGGAAATTAGGGGTGTCAATTTTTGACACGACACGAAACACGACCCGAACCCGACCCGGAAAAATCTGGGTTCGGGTCAAACCAAACCCGAAACGGGTCGGGTTCGGGTTCATGAAATCAACCCGTTTTAAAAATCGGGTCGGGTTCGGGTTGACCCGCCAACCCGAAATTGAATTCAATATATATATATATATATATATATATAAAGTTCATTGAGGATGTTCAAATAATACTAGAAGACAAATAGGTCATATAATAACAAAATCTCTAGCCCTAAATAACTATAATAACATAATATTAATGATCAAATTGAATTTGTATTTCATTGTTTATAAAGCATTTGGTTTAAGACTATCGTAGTCAAGAAATCCAGGATTTACCACTATCCCTCTAGACTTATGACAAATTACTGAAGTGAGAATTAAACCCTTATTGCTTAGCAATAAAAATATAACTACCAAAGTTCACATTCAAAACATAAAATAGTCAATCAACGAATTACAAAGTCTCCCAAGACTTAACATTAATTATCTAACATATGTTACTGTAGATAGAATTAATTTATTTTATTAATATTATTCATTTGCATATCAAGTTCTTGGAGCTAATTTAGCACCATATTGCTCTGATACCAATAGTTCAAAAAATATATAATTTTCATATAAAAGAAAGCAAATTATAGAAAAGAAAAAATTTCCAAGAAAACTCAATCTATTGACTTGTCAAATTATTCAAGGTGCTTAAAAAACAAATCGAACGCAATTGTCCAACTGTTTAAAAGTTGATAAGTCAATCAAATATATCGGCCGAAATAGACAACAAAACATTCAAGCTAGAGTAAAATTGTAAATTCAAGCAATCTAACTTATTTGGCAGTGTTTAGACCAAAATTTTCGACTGCAAACTTTTCTCTTGTCGTTTTGCACCCCCTTCTCAATTGCGTTTTGTTTATATCCATCCATCAAACTCCATGACAATTTAATATATATTATTTCTATCATATTTGTATTAATTCTGACACAATAGACTGTAAATAAGATAAAATAAGTGTCAAATAAACTTCTGTATTGTTAGGTGTATGAAAAGAAAATTGCTTCCGAAGTATTTCTCAGAATAAGTTAATAAACAACATAAGCGTGACAGAAGAACTCAAAAACTGACGCAAACAAAAAAGAAATCACTAAAAAACGAACCCCTATCCATAAAGAAACAGAAAACCGATTCACTAACTCAAAACTAAAGAATCTACAAAATCATACCTGTAATGTCGCCAGTGACGAGGAGCAGATCGGGCCGGATGACCCGTATCGCCGATCCGAGGAGCCCAGCAAGTTCCTCCGCGCGTTCGGGGTGGTAGGCACTGAGATGGAGATCCGAGACCTGAACGACCCAAGCCAAATCCCCATCCATCGGGAAGAACTCCCTCGACACAAGCTCCGCCGCGTTCTCCGTCTCATCTGCAGAGGAGAGAAATAGAAACAATGAGAAGAACAATAAGAAGAACGGGAGGAACGCCGACGAGGAGATCGCCGGTGATGCCATTTTCTTCTATTTTCCCTCGCTCTGTCACGAGTCGTGGACAGTGCGTGTGAAGTGCAATTTATGAATTGATGAGGCGTGGAGCGGAATCGGATTCGACGAGTGGGAATTGGAATTTTGGTTAGCGCGGATGCGGATTTTTATTCGAGTGTCTTAGTGGAGAATAATATTGCAATTATCACAAAAGCAATATTTTTTTACCCTCATAAATTTAATGTAACATAAGTGGTATGTATATATATAATTTAAAAATACTTTGAAGATTATTCATATATCATAAATTTAGATTTCATTTAGAACAATTTTTTTATTACTTTCAAAAATAATTTTTTAATATAAAATTTTTATCTCAAAAAATTTTTGTGCTAAAAAACTAATTTAAAAAATAATAGGAAAGTCTTCACAAAAGAAACATCAACTTTAAAATATATATTGCGTTAATTTAGGATTTGATTTGAATAGCTATCTTACTGTTTTTTAAAATAATTTTCTAATACAAAAATTTCTTGAAAAAAAAAAAATTTAATGGTGAAAAGTTGTCCTAAATGAAGGGGTTCATTTGAAACAACTTTCTTACAAAGCAAGTTTCTAATTAAAAATTTTCTTAAATTATAATTTTTTTACTAAAAATATCTTTTATAATTATAAAGTTTACCCAAATTAAAGCTTTGTTTGTGACATTTTTTTAATTATTTTATAAAGCAGTTTTTTAATACAAAATTTTTAGTTCTAAAAAATTTGCATTAAAAACTATTTTACAGTAAAAAAGCTCTTGCAAACAAAGTCAAATCTTAAGATCTCATTTGAGATGACTTTCTTATTGCTTCTAAAGGCATATTTTTAGTATAAAAATTTTAATTTTTGTTCTAAAAAGTCGCTTTAAGAATCAATTAAAAAGCCGTCCCAAATAAAGCCTAAATGAAATTAAATTTTAATTCATGGTAGAGGGAAAAACCAATTAGTACAAATTGATTACATTTGAAATTAACACTATCTGAATTTGAGCCAACTATATCAAAGCTTAATTTTCCAAAAAGCTTTTATGTACAAATATGCTTATTAATTATCATCTTAAAACTTTGTTTGGTTTGATAATATTGGAGAGAATTTATCTTTTTAGTATTTTGGCTTCAATGTAATCAAAAGGAAATTAAATTTATCTAAAGAATAGAATAAAACTTTTATTGATATATTTTAGAGATTTTTAATCCTTGTAATGGAAATATGAAATAAAATTTTTTAAAAGGCAGTTTGGTGGGATAAAAAAAGAAATCAAAGTAAAATATAATATAGTATAATGAAATATAGTGTATTTGAA